AGTGCGTGAGAGTGGTTGATAAACAGGAACGAACCCGCGAGCGATATCGATTATTAGCTTTGCATTCGGGCAAATCCTATTCCGTGCACCCTGCTTCCCTCAGACCAGATGGAACAGCCGCAGATTGCAGAGGACATGCGAATGGTGAGTTCTCCTCGATGTGTCTCTGCCGCTGCTGCGACACAGCGCGACGCTCCGATTGTTTTGGTCGCGTGGTTGGCATTTCGAAGGAGACCCGCAGGTACCAGCCAGCGAGGGGGTGTCAGCTCTCGTGAAAAGTAGCATATGACAGGTGACACGACAGCTGTCACTACCTGTTCATGTTGCTGTCTGTGACTTTATTCTGCTCCAATACTTTATCTCATCACTTTGGGAAAGTCACCTGAAATTTCATTTGTGCCATAGGAGATTTTAATGAGATAAGGCTGATAACAGTTAACGAACATACGATACAATGTTAACTCTAGTAATAAAGATCCCATATCTTTTCTTAATCATGAATAAAAGTCAAGAAATTCATTCATACCCAAACAAAAACAATATAAAATGCTTAAAAAATCACATATTCCTCTGTAGGCCTATATTTTGTCAGACACTCGTCATGAAATAAAGCCGGAAAATTAGTTCTCTGTGTACTAGGTTATTTTTATGGGAAACGTTGATGTTATCAGATAATAAAGATAAAAAATAAGCGGAGACTTTTTGTTCGATTTTTATATTTTCGTAAACTGACATTCCCCAAGAAGAATGAAAGAAATATATATATTTTATTATGGTTATCATAAGTAGTAGTAACGTCATCAGTGTCATTCCTCTACAGTAATTTCTTAATAATGATGATGATGATGTTGATAACTGACGATGTCAACTATAATCAGTTATACAAGAGTTATTCTTATCATTAATCTAGATTTTAATGTTGATAGCATCGTCTTTCTACAGCAATAGAGATATCGCTCTTTTGTTATTTTGTTAAGAATATGCCAGGTTTTATAATCGTTATCACTGCCACGGTCAAAAATATTACGATTGCATCATTATTATTATGATAATTATTAATTCCTGGTTGCTGTTGCTATTATCCATTTTTTTCTAATTTCTACTACTACTACTTTTGTTATTATCATCGTTATTGTTATTATTATTGGCATCGTCAGTCATCAATCAGTATAACTGATATTAATATTATTATTGTTATTGTTGTTCTTAATTATGATTGCCACTGTCAACTAAATTATTATTGTTATCATCACTCTTATCGTCCTTATCATGGATGTAATTGAATATTGTTCTTATTACTGTTATCATTATTTTGTTTTATTTTTTATTATCAAGTTCATTATTCCTGTTATATTATCATTACATCATCATTGTTGTCGTTGACGTTATTATTATTATTTTCAATATTATACTATTTAGTTATTATTATTATTATTTTCAATATCATACTATTACTATTACTACTACTACTGCTGCTACTACTGCTACTACTACTACTACTACTAATACTAATACTGCTGCTACTGCTGCTGCTGCTACTACTACTACTACTACTACTACTACTACTACTACTAATAATAATAATAATAATAATAATAATAATAATACCTACCACCACTTAAATTACTACTGCTATTGCTACTTCTATACATAAAATGGCTTTGCAGTTAAACTATTAATGTTGTGAATGTAATTTATAAAACAAATACGAAAGTGATACTTATAGAATGATAACCGTAATAATGCGTATGGTGACAGTAAAGTTAACAATGCAGAGAGTGATGATTGTGAATACAGTATTAGAAAATAGATAATAGTAGTATTATAATATAAGAACGTATCTCTGCATTGTATGTTACTGACGTCCCGTTATTATTAATAATACCAAGGGAAGGTAATGATAATGAAGATGGAAATAGATGGATGTCATTATCAGATGTAAGATACAGGGAAGAAAATGATAATGCATAAGGAATTGATAATAACTGATTAAGTATGCATAAGCAGCCTTCGATACTGACATCGTACAATAAACCCGGCTATTAAGATGTCAACTAATGGCATTTTTGATATTAAGTGATGTATTAATTGTTTGCCTTAATGCGTTACGTGTTGGAAATAATGTTCTCGGTGACAATCGGATGACGAGAACTATAATAGCAAATAAGAAATGATAAAAGAAATTAATGGTTTTTAAAAGTAATGAATGGTATTTATTCAATTACGGTTTATATAATGTAGTACTTAAATACTTGGCGACATTTAAAACAAACATGAGATTAAGGTCACTGATAAGGTGATAAAGCTGATAACAACCTAATAGAAAAAAGTTAATGGGGATTGTAATGATAGGATGAAATGTGTGATATTAGGGTTGTTAGTAATAATATGTATATTCATAATTGATTATTATTGAATAGTGATATTTGCATGTTTTTGGCATTTAGAAATTAGAGTTTTATCATACTTTTGAAAGAAAAATAAATAAAGTGACGGTGATTGAATTAAATAAAATACGCGAGAAATTGCAACTATTAAGATAAACTTACTTTAATATGGTACAATTTGTACGTGTTTAACACAATATGTATACTATATTGTTCTAATCACTTCTGCGATTTCTGATTCTAAGTCAGGATCATGAATAGCTGCGCATTCGCGGAGATAACGGAACGAATCTCACCATGCGGTCGCAGTACAGACATACGAAGAGATATCTAGTTAAGTGCGAAATTACTATAAGTAGAATGAATAATGATGAGAGTAAGCTTACTAGGTAAGGGAAAACCAAGAATGAGAATAGGAACAATGAACTGTTTATCGGGGATGGTGGAATTATCAGATATTTATTGTATTATTATGTTCTTTATTTATTCTTTTTGGTGATAATTGTTGGATTATTATTCTATTATATGATAAGTGTAATTCGATATCTTAGTTTGATTTTGGCTATGGATGCATCTTTTGGTAGTGTGGGTTGTAATAATGATTATGAGAAACCTTAGAAGGGATGAGCTCGATTTTCAGGATGATGACCACGCCAGATGATGATTGGTGAGGAGAGGAAGATGATGGAAGGCGCGGAGCGTGTTGACAGGAACGGATCCGATGAGGAACTGAACGGAGGTTGGAGAGGAGCGGCAGAGGTACGATCGCAGAGAGTACGAATCATGGTGAGACCTGAGTGGAACATCTGAAAGTAGACGAGACAAGAAGGGAGCGACCGTGTGACGATTGAGGAGTGTAATAATAGCGGTTGAGAGATTAGAGAGAGAAGGGGATGAGAAGAGACGCGGCACGATGAGGCGCGGAGAGAAGGACAGTAAGAGCGAAACACGAGAAGAATACAATGATGAAACGCAGAGACGGATGAGAGGACGAGCGAGTATATGAACCTGATCGACTCACCGATCATCTCGGGAGAGTGGATACGGTAGAGAAGAGAGAGGGACGGAGAGTCCTAAAAAATAGTAAAGATACGGAGAGATAGCTAGATCGGATGAGAGAGATCAAAAAGTAGCATTACATATACATATAAGAAGACAGACAGGAAGTTGACACGACAGAAAGACAGACATTGAGTACAGATCAAGAAACACAAACCACTACACCTACTCCCCAAGAAAGAAAGAAAGCAAAAAAAAAAATGATTACTTAAAAAAAACAACAGTTATTTCTGTTTAAAGAATTAATAATATAAAAACAAGCGAAGTCACCCTCAAAATGATAGACCTAATTGATTTCGTACAGATGAAATTGTTGTCCCGGTATTTAATTATTTTCCTAATAATGTCATCTGTAAGCGTCATAGATCAGACGTCATACATTTCTTTTATCATTAACTTCATTGGTTATTTATTCCATGCTTATTGTACGTACTATCTTATTACTATCTTTATTAGTTCTCATTCGAACGTATAATAGCTGGTTACTTTTGCTGCTTATCACTTCAATTGGTCAGATTCTAACAATATTTATTATCATGGCTTGGTGTAACATTATTACTCCTATAATTTATCATGTTATTTTTAATTCACCTAATTTTATTATACTCTATATCATCTCTACACCGTGTTCTGTATAGCATTTTACGTATTATTTAATCTATTTGTTATTTTTGGTTTTTTGATTCTTAGTATCATTATTTCTCTTATCTATATCTAATATCCTTAGTGTTAATAAATTTTATTGGTAGTTGTTGCTTATCAAACATCCGCAGTTGTTAGTTATTGATTCATTCATTATTTGTCTATTTATAATAATTATTCATTATCTATTCAGACTTCTAACTACTAAACTGCTGATATATCGATACTACACAGTTATTTATTATTTATCTGGCGTTAGTATTGTTCTTTGTTTGTATGATATCTATAATTAACATTAATAGTGGTTCTTATCAATTCAAATATGAATTCTTGGTTTAATCAGTAATTATATTTATTCTATTCTCATTTAATCATTTTATCTATATATTTTTTAATCCTATCAATCTTTCGATTATTAGTTAATTCGACTTGTTCCAATTTGTTCTTATACAATCTTAAAATTATCTTAGTGTATATGTCTTTATCTAATGGCATATTATCATTATTAGTATCATTATCATCATCAATTTGCCTGTATTTTCATCAGTTATTATTGCTATTTACAATTCATATTCATATCTATTGATGAATTTCAGTGACATTATATTGTTTCACTTTAATGATTAACTGGTTAATTTGATAATAGAATTATTTTTGTTTATAGTGTTATATATAATGATGATTGGATTGAATCCCTGATTATAATAACACTAAATAATTAAATTAATAAAGATAAATCCATAAATATACAAATTAATTAATGTTTTGATTCTGTAAATTTTTTGTGATTTAGTTTAATTTTAATCATATATTTAATTTTTAACATAATGATAAGTAAGCAATGTCAATAGATATACAATAAGTAAATCTTAAGATCATTCAATATCATAAGTTATGGTTGATCTGATAATGATCAACACACTTTTCAGGATATCTCATCACAAGAATACTTTTCGTATTATTTGACAATAATTAATGAATATGGTGATAATTGGGGATGGCAAGTGATTTATGGTATAGTGAGATTATGATTATATGGGTTGGATGGAGTATTAA